AAACCAGACCTGGAAGGGGTAGCAGCTGTCCAGGCAGCAGCTGGCAGCCCAAGACAGGGAGGCAGAGCCCAGTCCACAGGGCCTCTGGGCTGTGTGTGAACGGCACAACCAGTGACACAGCCCCTGCTGGGCCAAAAGCTCCATTGTCACTGAGAGAAGAGCCTTCCCTAAATGGCGTGTGTCCTTGCCTTCTGGCCACATCCCCCCTGCCTGTGCCTGAGTCACCGGGATACACCAGAGGTCCCCTTACTGACTCAACACACTCCCCTGTGGACCCCTGCCCTCCTCCAGCCCCACGGTAGGCCTCCAGGGTGGTACAAGAGGTCCCCTATGCCCTCCTAGACCCTGTTCAGGTTCCCTCCCACCCCAGGTCTCTGCCTTGTTCCCAAGCACATTCCAGGCCATTGTCTCATGACGAATAGCATTTTCATGCGGGTGTTGGAAAATATGGGCACATGTTTAATGCTTGCAAGCTGTGCTCCACTGTTGACGCTGTGCTTGGGAGCCAGGCAGGCAACTCAAGCTGGGCTGGGGCTCAGCAAAGAAGTGATGACGCAGCAGCCCTGCGAGGCAGCCATCTGCCAGGCCTCCGCCGGGCAGGGACAGCCCCTGGTGCCCACTCACAGCGGGCATGGGGAAGCAGAGTGGTGAGGAAGAACTCAGGTTCTGGAAGGCGATTCTTCTAGGTCTGACTCCTCTGTTCCTCCTCCTCTGGTCAGCTGTGGGTCCTCTCTGAACCCCCGATTCCTCTTCTTTGCGATGGGGGTGGCAACCCTGCCCAGGTTGTGTGAGGACTCAGCATGACACCGCAAGTGGAGCTAGCTCAGAGCCCAGTGCCAGGTGCGTGGTAACTCCGAGGCCACCTGTCTGTACAGATCCCTGTGTGGACTGGGGACTGTAGTGGAAAATGGGCCCTCTTTCCTCCCTCCCCAGCTTCCTGACTCAAGGACCCACTTCTCACACCCTCCACCCTGAGCCTGGCCTCTAGTAAGGGCCCCGTGAGCTGGCCAACACTTCCGCTATTATTACTGTCTTCTTGAGGCTTTGCAACCGAGCGATCTGGGATCCTTCTCCCCAAACCTAGGGTGACCTGGGGTCGAGGCAGGATGCGGCCCCCACCTCCTCCCCAGCGGCAGGATGGGAGTCGCCCTCAGTGGAGGCCCCTCTGCTGCCAGCCCCAGAACAGCCTCTCCAGGCTCCTCCTCCTGGGGCAAGGGTGGCTGAGCGAGCGGCTGGAGCATGGCAGGGCCTCAGCACTGCTCTCTGTGGTGCCTACTCCCAGCCTCTCCTCTCCCTTTCCCTCTTGTGATGCTTTAATTAGCGATACTCAGAGGGAGACATCTCGTGAGGAGGCTTGTGCTCCAGAGTCTCCTGGGATGAGCCAGCTTCCCAGGCCCCTTCAGCCAGCAAGAGAGTACAAGATCTAGGCCGGGCGCAGTGGCTCACGCCTGTAATCCCAGCACTTTGGGAGGCCCAGGCGGGCGGCTCACAAGGTCAGGAGATCGAGACCATCCTGGCGAACATGGTGAAACCCCGCCTCTACTAAAAATACAAAAGAATTAGCCAGGCGTGGTGGCGGGCGCCTGTAGTCCCAGCTACTCAGGAGGCTGAGGCAGGAGAATGGCGTGAACCTGGGAGGTGGAGCTTGCAGTGAGCCGAGATTGTGCCACTGCACTCCAGCCTGGGCGGCAGAGCAAGACTCCATCTCAAAAAAAAAAAAAGAGAGAGAGTACAAGACCTGGGCAGGGCACGGCAGGGCAGCCAGGCCAGGGCTTGGCCTGAGGGGTGACAAGGGCAAAAATGTAACATCACGCTGCCGTTTTCCACACACCGGTGTTTGCACAGCACAGAGGCCTGCCTGGGCATGAACGGAGAGAATGTGCTGGCCTGGGGGACGGGGGGGGGGGTCATTGCACCTCCCATTCTGTCCAGGAGACCCTTGCTTCTTGGGGATAAGTGCCCTGAAAGAACCAGAACTTTCTCTTAGAAGGGTCTGGTAGGAGGGGCATGCATTTCAGACTGAGGCTTCACCAGGACCTAAGGTTGCAGCCGAGGCCTCGATGTCTGGGAGGACCCTGCTACGTGCTGTTCCTGGCCGAGCCATCGGGCCAGGGCAGAGCAGGTGGAGCCTCTAGGGCCACGTGGGCTTGGCGAGGTCAGGAACTGAAAAACCCAAGAGGCTAGAACACCATCAGTGGAGGAGGGACAGAAGAGGGAGGCTGGAGAGGAACCAGTGAGAGGTGTGAGATCCTGTAGGCCGAGGTGAGGGGCAGGGTTTGTTTCAGATCCAGGAGGAAGCCGCTAGCACATCCCAGCAGGGAGGGGCATGCTCTGGCGGGCATGCTTTAGGATTGTCCAGTTGGTGTGTGGAGGGCGGACTGTGGGGGCAGGAGAAGCAGCAGGAGGCAGATCCTGAGACATGGGGAGATGGACCAGGCAGGTGATACTGACAGCCCCCTAGGCATGGGGGCGGGTGTGGGGCAGGGTGGCCGTGTAGGATGTGCTCCCAGGGTAAGGCCCCCATACCTGCCAGTGGACCCAACAGAGGGACTGGGGGTCAGGATGACTCGTGGTTTGGGCCTGAGCAGCTGGGTGGGCAATGCCACCATTTACTGAGATGAAGAGGGGGTGGCAAGTCCATGGGGACACCAAGGGTTGGTTGTAGCCCAGCGAGGTTTGAAATGCCTGCTAGGTGGCCAGGCAGGGCCTTCCACCCGGCAAGCAGCTGTTCCATCTAGAGCCCAGCGGGGGCTCAGGCTGGAGGGCATGTGTGGGAGTCACCGATGGGGACCACAGACCACTGGGAGGCGCAGCTTCTCCTCACCACTAGCCCCTCATCCATCCCTCCCTCCACACCCTCCTCAGCCTGCCCTCACGTGGGCGCCACCCTGCCCTCCGCTGCCACAGGTCCCGTCTGCCGGCCTGGATCCCTGGAGAGCGCTGCCTGGCAGCGGCTCAGCTGTTGGCCTCTGTCATGGAGACGGCACCAGCTGCCGGCGATGGGCACTTGTGACCATTTGTCAGAACGCCCCCCTTCCTCCTGTGCCTGCCCTTCTGGAACATTTCTGTCCCACAGCCGTGGAGACAGGGCTCATGGAGGGGTTGTGGGACCGGGAGGGGCCGGGAAGCACTGTCTGGGCTCTACAGCGGGGCCGCCACCTCCTGGCCTTTGGCTTGAGGCTGCCTGGCTGGGCTTTCCCTCTGCGGCCAGCAGCTCCCCAGAGGAGCTGTGGCCCCTGTGGTACCATGTCCCACACACTGGCCTTACATGGCTTGTTCCTCGTCTGCATTCCTCGTCCTCAGGCTGCCCTCTGAGAACTTCCCCCTATTTCACAGATAGGTATTGCCCCTAATTAAAGTGGAGAAATTGTGCGGAGACATTGAGATCACACTGCTGGTAGTTGAGGACACCTGGCTGAGGCCTTCACCTGCCTCCTAACCCCGGGGGAGCCCCCGGCACGGCAGGGTCCTGGTGGCATGTGTGGGGAGATGAAGCGGCCCTCACTCGTGCGGCCACCACCCCCTCCCTGCGCCGCTTGTTTCTGTTTCTCGTGGTTTCTTGCCCAGGCCTGCAGGCTCCAGCCAGGGTAGGCTGGAACGGCCTGCCTACTGTTTGCGCTTTGTGGTCTGGCCTCTTTGTTACCAAATGCTCTGGGGTTCCTTTGGGGCTGGGGGTGGGGAGGAATCTTCTCCAGTCTGGCCCCAGAACCATGGCTGGCGTTCAGGGGCATTCGGGAAGCTGGTCCCAGGTCATGCAGAGCGGAGGCTGAGTCCAGCGACCTGGGAGGAGATGGAGGTGTTTCAGGCCTCCCACCAAGAAATGTGGCTCACCTCACTGAGCACCTGAGACCTCGGGGCCTCCAACGCCATGTGGGACCTGTGGTGGTGCTTCCCTGGAGACAGGACGCGGCGTCAGGCTCCAGAGCTCAGCCCTAGATGGGAGGTGGTGTGGGCAGGGGTGCCATGCTGCCGCCAGCCCAGCAGTGAGGAAGCACAGTGCTACACACCACCCTCTCACCAGCCACCCCACTCCTGCCCCATCTTGCCTGCATCATGCTGTTTGGGGAAACTCCCAAATCCCTGGGACTCCAGCTGGGAAGCATTGCCCAGGCGCCCTTCCCCTGCAGGCCAGGCCTCCGAGGGCACGCGGAAAAGCAGCGCGGATTCCTCCAAGCCTGTCCTCACCACCCACTTCTCACTGCTAGTGTCATCTGGCCCAGGGACCCTGGGGAATCTGCTTTCATCCTCTGGGTTCAGTTTTTTCCTTTTGTATAATGGGGAGGCTCCTCTCACAAAGTCCAATCCTTCGCACTGAATGACTCTTACTAGACAAGAGATGGGAAAGGGGTCATGGCCCAGGGACCAGCGAGCTAGGCTCTGGCCTTAAGTGACTCCGCGACCTTGGTCAAGTCACTTCACCAGAGTTTCACTATCCGTACAGTGAAGAAAAAACTCAGGGTCATAATGCTGATCCCACATGGATCTGTGCTCCAGGCCATGGGGTACAGCCCAAACAGCACAAATCCCTGACCTCGGGGGCTTCCAGGAGGAGGAGTGGGGCAGTAAACAGGTGACCGATGTGTGGAGAATTGGCCGGATGAAGATGAACTCTAGCAAGAGAAGAAAGCCCAGCGGGGGACAGCTGTGTCTTGGCCTGGGGTGGCGGGCATTGCCCAAGCGTGTGGGAGTTCAGGAAGGTGACGGGGTCCCAGGGACTATTTTGGAGGCCCAGCTGTTTCTCTTGTGTCCAGGGATTAGTATAGCGTGGGACACCCTGGCATGGCTAGGCCCAGGTAAGCAGTGCTGGGAAGCCTGGAGGCAGGTGCGGCGTTCCCCCCACCCTTCCCCGCCCCCCCGTAACCACAGGCCTCAGAGTCATGGCTCCACACCGGCCTCAGGAAAGGGCAGATTTCCCCAGAATGCTGTAAAACCGAGAGGAGGCCTCCCAGGCTGAGACGCAGGTCGTCCTGTGCCCTGACCCCGCTCTGCCTGCTCTCCAGGCAGCTGTGCCTCCTGCTGAACGCGGAGAACATCTTCCACTCGATGGCAGACATCCTGCTGCGGGAGGAGGACCTCAAGTTCGCCTCGACCATGGTCCACGCCCTCAACACCATCCTGCTGACCTCCACGGAGCTCTTCCAGCTAAGGAACCAGCTGAAGGACCTGAAGACCCTGGTAGGCTGCGTCCGTGACTCCGTCCTCAGGTGTGCTCCTGCGTGCCGGGGGCACACCGTGTGTCAGCCCGCCCCTCGGCTGGCCCCAGGAGGCTGTCAGGGAGAAGATGGGGTTGAAATCGAGACCTCCCCTGGTCCATTGGGAAATAGGGATCCTGGGATCCTGGGATCCTGGGTGAGTGGCTGCACACAGCACTAACCACAGGTGTGTCATGTCACCCGCACTGAGGTCTCTGCCAGCAGAAGGGTCCATGTGTCCATCCTGACCCCCCAACAGCCCTGCCTTTTCCGTTGGTTGACACCCTAGTCCCACTCCAGGCACTGCCCCCTTGAAAACAGAGGCTCTGCTGGCTGTGGGCCTACCCGCTGGTCAGTGCTACCCTCTCAGGGCCAGGCCTCTGGGTTATAACCGTGCTGGCGAATCAGGGGTTAACTGCTCTTCTCGCCCTCCTTGGCCTGGCCCCTCTCTCCCACAGCTGGGCACATCTGGCTCCTAAGGCACCTGTCATAAGCCAGGGTGTCAAGTTTGCTGCCCATCCATCCCAGGCTCTGGATGAGGACGCGCCAACGACTGGTCCGAGAGAGCAGAAAGGACGCTCAGTCTCACTCCCCTATGAACAAGGAGAGATGCGGGTCCCAGGCCTCTCATGTGCTGGCTGAGGGTGGTGGCTGCAGAGGCCGTGCAGGGACAGGCGCTGTCCTGGAGGCGGGGACTCCAGGGGTTTCATTTCCCAGGCCCCCTGCCGGCTCAGACCCTGCTTGCACCCTCCCCAGGAGCCTCGGGGATATCCAGGCCCATGTCCGGGGGCATCTGGGGCCAAGTGGCTCTGCACGATCCAGGCCACAGCCCTGCCTCCCTCCTGTGGTTCCTTCCAGACATTCGCAGAGGCCTTAAGAATTTTCCTCCAGGGCAGGGGCTCCCCCAAGTGTGGGCTGGGTTCCTGGGTGGTTTCCAAGTGTTCGAGGTGGCCTGCAGAGGTGGGGAGGAGACGGCATTTAAGTGTGCTTCCTCCCTTCCCTGCGCACTCCCCCGTCGCCCTCCCAGCCCCATAGGGCTCCGGGACCACAGAGTTCTGGAGGGGGGCAGGGAGTAGGGGACAATTACTGTGATTTTGCCAAGGGCAGACTTGCCAGCACAAAGGACAGCCACTCCCAGCCAGGCCCTCACAGCCACCACACAGCTCTGGGACTGGGAGGTAATGACAGGGTCTACGGAGGAGCTGTCAGCGTTTCCTTTGTGACGGCTCGTTCCCAGCCGGGATGCCTAACAGCCAGAGTGCTAAGCTGGCTCCGGCTGCCCCCGACCAAAGACCCCTGGGTCTTAGACCTGTGGCCCTTCCCTCAGGTCCCCACATGGACCGAGAGGGGGCAAGGAGTGGAGGTCTCCTCACGGCTCACACCTCTTCCCCCACAGGAGAGCCAGAACCTGTTCTGCTGCCTGTACCGCTCCTGGTGCCACAACCCAGTCACCACGGTGTCCCTCTGCTTCCTCACCCAGAACTACCGGCATGCCTATGACCTCATCCAGAAGTTGTATCCTTCCTCTCACTGTGGTTGGGGTTGGTCCACTGAGGGGCAAGAAGGGGTCGGCTGCGCCCTTTTCACCCAACAGGCGGGCCCAAGTGCCATGCTCCTGTCCCCACCCCTCCACTCAGCCTCAGGGCTTGTGACATCAGGGCCACCAGGACCCTGGGAGGGGAGGGATGTATTTGGGAGAGCGAGGTTGGCAGCAAAGAGGGGCTCCTGGAGGGGAGCTGGCCCAGGAGAAACCCTGTGGGTTGGGATTGGGACTGAGGAGGCCCAGCCCGGCGGGTGCCAGCAGGTGATGCTGGGCTATCTTGCTGGGGTAAGAGAGAACCGCAGCTCCTGCCCCTGGGAGAAGGTGGCTGCCCTCTGCTCATTGCAGTTCCTCCTGGGCCTGGTGTGGGGGTAGGGGAGAAGGCCCGGAGCTGGAAACATAGGTGGACGGCTGGGTGAGCCTGCAGGCTTCGGCCCAGGCCTGGGCCTTTGGGGGCCACAGAGCTAGAGCCCGAGAGGCTTGAAGATGACACGCTGGGGAGAAGCAGGCTGGGCGGAGGCCTCCGAAGCAGGAGGCACCAATGCTCACCTCAGCACCACGCTCCTCAAAAGGCATCCAGGGTTAGATGTTTTGTTTTGTTTTTTTTGAGACAGAGTCTCGCTTTGTCACCCAAGCTGGAGTGCAGTGGGGTGATCTTGGCCCACTGCAACCTCCGCCTCCCAGGTTTAAGTGATTCTCCTGCCTCAGCCTCCCAAGTAGCTGGGATTACAGGCGTTCACCACCACGCCCAACTAATTTTTGTATTTTTAGTAGAGATAGGGTCTCACCAAGTTGGCCAGGCTGGTCTCAAACTCCTGACCTCAAGCGATCTGCCCACCTCGGCCTCCCAAAGTGCTGGGATTACAGGTGTGAGCTACCATGCCTGGCCAGATTTTTTTTAAAACACCAAGAAGCAAACTAGCCCCAGCTGTGGGTACCTGACATGTAAGCCAGGATTGGAGTGCTATTTAGAAGGCAACATGACCAGCCAGGAGTTGGGAGTCAGGAAGAAGAGGCCAGGAGGTACCTCAGTGGAGGGCTAGGTGTGGCCCTGCCTGACTCCCCACAGTGGGCCTGCTTACCTTCTACAACCTGGATTTGCTCCTCTCAGCCACTTCTGTGACCCAGAGACTGGCGGGCCACTGCCCAGCGCCGCAAGCCTGCTGCAGCCCTGGCGAAGCCCTGCTGGCGGGAGAGGAGAGAACCCTTCCTGCCCATCCCTCCCCCAGTGGGCTGCAGCCCTGTGATAAGAGCCTCTCCCAGCCCAGGAGGGTGCAGAGGAGGCAGCTGCTGGAGCGGAACCTGGAACTCCCGAACAGGGGGGTTCCATTTAGGACAGAAAGACGAGGAGAGGAGAAGAGACTGGTGTCCTTTGTGCGCCAAATCGTGCTTCACCAGAACCAGGCTCTGTGCACAGGAAGCCAGGCGCAGGTGGGCAGGGCGCGTGGTGCTCTGAGCTGCGGCTGTGCTGGCCTAGCAGTCACACTTTCCTTGACTGCACACTCAGTGGGGACCTGGAGGTCACCGTGGACTTCCTTGCAGAGGTGGACAAGCTGGTGCAGCTGATCGAGTGTCCCATCTTCACATGTAAGAACCACCTCCCACCACGCCTCACACCATGAGCCCAAGGCTGGCCTGGAGTGGGGTGGGTGGAGCCAAGCTCCAGTTGGTCTCTTTTGGCTGGGGAGGGAGGAAGAGCAGTCACCCCAGGGAAGCTTCTGGATTGTTGAGTCCCAGCACTTTGGGAGGCTGAGGCTAGAGTATCTCTTAAGGGCAGGAGTTTGAGACCAGCCTGGGCACCATAGTGAGATCTCATCTCTACAGAATTTTTTAAAAATTAGCCAGGCATGATAGTGCATGCCTGTAGTCACTGTTACTCAGAAGGCTGAGGTGGGAGGATCATTTGAGCCAAGGCCATGGAGACTGCAGTGATCTGTGACCGCACCACTGCACTCCAGCCTGGCGACAGAGCGAGACCCTGTCTCAGAAAAATAAAAAAATAAAGACTGGGATGATAGGCCTGCAAGGCCAGCCAGAGCAGGGCTGGGGCATGTGGCATCAGAACCTGGGTACTGCCTGTATCCCTCAAGGTGAGTCTCATGGACATGAGCCAGCACTGACAGCAGAACCCCCTTGAAGGCTGATACCAGGCCCCTGGGCTGCCCAGCCACCCCTCCGAGCCTGCTGCCCCTGCCCTGGCTCTCTGAAGTCGTGGGTCCCCTGGGTCCCTCTGCAGGTGCTCCTGTTGGCCCAAGAGCCATGCCTGCACCTCCCTGAAAGAAGAGTTGGCATTTGCTGGGAGCCAGTGGGCAGGAGCTGCCTGCTTAGTAACACTCAGGCTGAATGTGCAAAAGTGGCAGCTGGCTGGGGTGAGCACAGCTCTCGGCGCCTCGACATACACACTTTGAATGACGCTCATGTATTTATAATGTGCAGAGAAGCCAGGCGGCCACCCTGCTGGTGCCCACCTTCCCTGACAAGCTGACCACCCAGGCCTCTCATACTCTCTGGCAGCGTCTCTGACCCGCCCAGCCTGAGCCCTGGAGCCCAAATTGAATGCAGGGGCTAAAGAACACCCATTCCCATCCCCTCCTGAGCCCCCTTCAAAGGGCAGCCTCGTCAAGCAGCAGGGTGCCATGGGAACTGATGCCCTGGAGACAGAAAGGCAGGAGGGAGACCCTGCTCTCCGCACAGTGCACTAAAGCCTGTCCCAAGTGTGCCCAGCCTGACATTTCACTTCCTCGAGGGCCTCCCAGGGACACAGGCGCCCACACGGCCACCTGAGGTCAGGTCCTAAAAAGACCCTGCTCCAGCTGTTGGTCTGTCCTGACTCATCTCTCCAGTTGTACATTCTTGGCATTCCAGAAGCATCCCTGGGATGACTGCCCTCCCTCCCTGACCCTGGAGGAACTGCAAGCACCTTCCCCTCAAGCCCAGGGCTTTGCTGGGGCAGGGTAACAGGAGAGATACACCCTGGTCTCGCCCAACACCGTCCCAGCCCTGAGTCACCTGGATCCTAGAGGTGGCTGGTTTGGCCACAGGCAGTGCCCGCTTCCCCAAGGCCCAAAGGGAAGAAAGGACTGGAAACAGGCTCATGCTTCTGCTGGGCAGCCAGGACTGGGACAGTGGTGGTGGGGGTCTCCTCTGGAGGGCACCAGGAGGCCTCCATTCCTCTGCTCCCTGCTCATCGACACCCTGGCCCTAAGGCCTGGTTGCTCAGGCTCCCTGCGTCAGCGGGACCCCCTCTGTGGCCGCTGCCGGGGTGACATAGCCCCTTTCCCAGGGCACATGGCACATCCTCCACAAACAATGCCTGGACTGGGCCTAGGGACACAAGAAAGTAGAAGCCAGTGATTCTCCTGGAGAGGCTCGCAGGAGAGAAGTGAGCCCATTTCCAATCCCGCCTCCCCTGTGCGCCTTGGGGAAGCTGGGACTGCCTTGTGGTGCAGCCAGCCATTAGCGGGCTCTCTGCTGCAGCTTGGGCTGGAATGAGTGCTGGACAGCCCCCCGGGTGTGTCTCTTTCCACCTGGCAGGGTGGTGGCAGGGCTGGCATGTGAGCCAGAGCCCCCAGAAGCACCTTCCAGACGCTCTGGGGCTTTGGTGTGTGTTTCGCTATACACAAAAGTGTTTTTCCATCCTGCCCTCTCTTAAAGCTGTCCTAATCCACCGTCTTTCTCTCCAGCACACCCTATTTATAGCTCTCCCGTGCTGGCACGTGCGGAGCCGACTGGAGAATCTGTTACACTACGAGCCCCGAGCCCTCATATCACCAGGGAGGCAGCTGAGCAGGGGGCGGGGAACAGACCAGGCCCCACAGCGCATCTCGGGGTTGTCGGGCTGAGGTGACTGTTGGAAAGATCAGACAGGCAGGTGGGCAGGTAGAAAGGAAGATGAGATCATGGAAACTGCTAGGACACTCCTGGGGGAGGCGGGAGCAGCGCGACGGGCTGTGAAGGAGCCCCTGACTCGCTGGAAGCCACGGCCACCTGGCTAGGCCCACACAGCTGGGTCCTTGGGCTGTGGGTGTCATGGCACCAGGTCCCTGTGGTCCTGGCCAGTCGGAGGCAGGGAGTACGGGCTGGGCATGTCCCAGAGCAGTGCCAGGTCCCTGAACCCTGCCCTCTGCACACCCCAGATCTGCGCCTGCAGCTGCTGGACGTGAAGAACAACCCCTACTTGATCAAGGCCCTCTACGGCCTGCTCATGCTCCTGCCGCAGAGCAGCGCCTTCCAGCTGCTCTCACACCGGCTCCAGTGCGTGCCCAACCCCGAGCTGCTGCAGACCGAGTGAGTGCTGGCTGGGGACTGCTGCCCCCGCCCCGCCCCCGAGCAGGGACAGGTCCAGAGGAGCCTGGTGAGGAAGGGCCGTGCCGGGGGCTGCTGAGGCCTCCCTCACTTCAGCATCCTACCCCTTTTGTCACTGTGGCCACCATCCCCGCCCCCGCAGCCACTTGCCCCTTGGCCTTTTGTGTTCCACATCAGAGCACTGAGCGAGGGATTCTGGGAGCGTTCGCACGGTGGCCGGGAGTAGCAACACTTCCAGGCAATCAGGGTCAGCTCAGTGACGCTATGCAAAATCTAAAAACTCTGAGGGCATCTGGAGTTACCCAGACAAAGGACCCTGAAGAGAAACTCCAGGCAGGGGAAGGAGTTCCTGCCCCAGCTTAGAGATGGGGGCCCCAGTGGCCATCGAGCGAGGGAGGAGCCTGTCCTGGGCACCTCCCAGGCCTCACATAGCCCCTCTCCACACCCTGTCTGTGGCAGAGGCTCAACCCTGGGTCACTGGGAGGCCGCATCATTGCTAGGACCTTCTCAGCCACCTCCTGGGTGGGGTGGGAGGCAGGAGTGCACTCAACGCTCCCCTGCACCGGTCCTGCCCATGGAAGGAAGAGGTCCTAGGCACCCCTCCACCGAGAAGATGCCCAACTTGGCAGCCTCTGGTCAGAGGGCTGCCGGCTCCCACCCTGAACCCATGGCTGGCCCCTACCCCAGAGTCTGTAGGGCCGTGTCTATATTTGGTAACCCTTGGAGGCTTTGCCTCATCCACAGGCATTTGGCATCCGAGATGGAAAATTTCACTTGTCAGGTCGCCATGGAAACCAGCAGAGCCACTGAGAAGATTTACGCTGAATGGAGCGCGCCCAGCTTGCATCAGATGCCCTGTGTGTCTAGAATTCCCTCCCAGGCTGTTAGAGCCACTCAGCAGGCCTGGCGCCTTGCTCCAGCAAAGGGCCTCGGGTGCTTGCCCTTGCAATGGACACAGGCAGCCTTGAGACAGGCCTGCCCGGAGCCTCTGTGCGCTCCACACTGCTGGCTTTGGCTCCCACTGTCCCTCCCACCCAGACTGGCCCTCCGGTGACCAAGTGTGGTGCACCTGATCGGCTGTCTGCCCCAGACCAGCTGGATAGGCTGAACCCCCAGAAAGTGTGGCCCCCACCAAGACAGGCTCCTGCCTTCCCTGCCCCGTTTCCCCGGAAGGCAGTGCCCTGCAGTGGCAGGACTAGGCCTTGAGCTGGCTGCCACCCCAGCTGCTCGGGGTGCCGCCAGGTGGTCCCCAGGAGACAGTACCTGACGCAGTGTCCCCAGGGGAGCGGGGTCAGCCACGGAGGGGGGCGCGCATATGGGTTCCTGGGGCCGGAGTCCTGTCAGCTCCCAAGAGACTCCAAGAGAGGCCCAGAATCCACACCGGGCCTTGCTGGCCCAGCCTTTGCCTTGTCCCTTCCAACGCCCCATAGTGTTAGGGTCACCCTGGCAGGCACCCAGGAGGGGAAGGTGCAGCCGGAAGCAGGGAGAAGGCAGGAAGGGCTGCTCCCCTGTGACCTCCAGTCTCCCTGTGGGAACCAGCCTGCCTTCCTGGGAGGCTTCCTGGCCAGGGAGCCAGCCCCGCCTCTCCCAGGGCTCTGCATGCTGATCTCGTCTTGGGAGGGGAGTGGAGGCTCAGAGCAATCATACTCCTGAAACCAGGGTAGAACAAGTTTGCAGAGGGAAGCTGGGAAAATTGGACTTTCCTCAGAATCTCCCACGGTCAGTCAGGGAAGTCCTGAGCCAAGGGGTTGAGGCCTCTGGGTAGAAGATTCTGAGGGTCAGTGCATGGTTTGCAGGCCTAGAGTAGGATCTGGTGTGAGCTCTGCCATGGATTTGCTGTGTGACCTCCAGCAAGCCCAGTGCCCTCTCTGGGCTCTTGGTTACTTGGTCAGTAAATGCACATTTGGACTAAATGGGTGTGTGAGGCACCCCCTAGCCTTCAATGCCCTGGGTCCCCAGTCTTTCTTTGCAAAAATCTAGGAAGAGATGCCATAGTTAGGGGCACAGGAGCAGTGGGCACGCCAGGGGCCTTCTGAACAGCTGGGGAAGGGGTCAGATTGCAGGGTGGGGCCCGGAAGACAGCTCACACCCTGGGAAGGGAGCTGTGGACAGTCCCAGCCCTGGGAGGGGCAGACAGCTGGCAGACAGGGTCAAGTTGCGGGGCAGGCCTTGGAGCCAGGAACAGCTGGGGGAGTTTGTACACTCCTCGCCCATGCCTGGTTCTGTGTGCTTCAGGCGCCATCAGGGCCCTGGGGGCCACAGCTCCCCCACCCGCTGGCTTCTGGGCCACTCCCCAGGGACTGTCTCCTCAGTGAGGCAGGAGGGAACCTCTAAGAAAAAGCTGGTGACAGGTGCATGGGTGGGATGGCAGGAATGAGAGCCAGCCCTGAGTCCTAGACTCGCCGCACTGTGCTGCAGGCTGGCTGGCCTCAGCCTCGGTGCCCGAGGATGGTTATGAACCTACAGAGGACGTGCAGGGCCTGAAAACGGCCATCCGCGTTAGGTGGGGCAGGGAGAACTGGCCTGGCCTCTGTGCTCAGCGCCCAGGCAGTGTCTCCCGCTCTTGGGGACACAGCCCACCCTGCTCCCAAGACCTCAGGCCAGGAAGGGTCTGCCCATCACAGGGAGCAGGACTTCTTGCCACTCTAAGGGCCCAGGGAGCAGATGTGGCCCACTCTTCCCACCCCCGCCACCCCGATGCCCGTCTCCCCAGGTTTGCCATCCAGTGCTGAAAGCATGTCTCTGGAGCCCCTAAGCTCCCCTAACCTAAGGCCTTGGCTTGCCAGGAGTGTCGTGGCGAGCAACGCACAGACCCATGGGTGCCCAGCATCAGAAGACACACTTTACGGTCACACCTGTGGCCTTGGCCTAAGTGGGTTAGAGGAGCGTCTGGCCACACCCTGGACTTAGGGTTGCAGAAGCTCCGGGGTGTCCCTTGGCCTCCTCAGAAGTCCAGGCTGCTCTCTTGGAGCAGTGGCACCTGGGACCAGCATTACTGTGCCTGGGAGGTCCCTTCCCAGGAGCAACCACAGCCTAGAACACTGCCCGCAGCCTGGCCCTCTAGAATGGGCCCCACCCAGCTGCTTTTGATCTTTGTTGAACTAACGTCAGCTGAACCCCGCTAGGGAGGCAGGAGCACCAGGCCCAGAAAAGCAGCAGCCGCAGCCGTAGACACGTCCAAGATGTTTTGTGGTGGTGCATCTTCAGCAGGGAGGCGGGAAGGGAACAGGTGTGGGCAGGCAGAGCTGAGCAGGGGTGCAGGAGGCCGCCTCCAGGCCCCAGATGGCATCTCAACTGTGGGAAGAGTCCCCCTGCCCCGGTCCTGCCCAGCAGGCTGGTGGGCCATCAGAGGCAACTGTCAGGCTCTGGCCCTCAGGCTGGACTGAACTCATGGCCAAGAGTTCATTTTGGGGGAGCTCCATTGTGTGTCCCCCAAAATGGCCTCCTTTATTTCTACCCTCAAGCTGCTGGGCCCCGGCTGGCCTCACGTTGAAGGGGCAGAACTGTAGCCACAGTGGCACCCGCCAGGTACCTAAGCTGAGGCTGGACACCAGGCAAAGCTCTTACACATCTTGTCAAAGCATCTTGGCAGCCACCCCAGGGCGCTCCTTAGGTAGCCCTCGCTTTGCAGACGAGGAAACAGTCACGTGCCCAAGTCACACCGCTAGGAAGCGGTGGAGTTATGGTTGGGTCCAGGTCTGTCTAGTTCCTGTGCTCTGCCACTGCCTGCACGCCACCCCGCCCCCACCCCACCAATTGGCATCTTTTCATGAACTTGAAGGGCCCCAAGATTCTCAGCTGAGCAGCCCACAGTCTTCCTGAGACCCCTTTCCAGGGCCGCCAGGCCTCAGGGCCTGGAAACAGATGCTTCCTAGCCCACACAGATCTCCTCCAAACCAGTGAGGCCAAAGGGAGGGAGTAGAACATTTCATGAGACACTGCTGGAGGGTGAGTAGGAATGGGACAGGAGCCCAAGGGGATCTCATCCCCAGGGGCAAGCTAAGCACTGGGCTTGACAAGGACAGCAAGGCTACCGCATTGCACGATTATAGGGAGCATCATGCACACTAGCTGTGCAGTGCACAACCTATGTTGCTGTACAGAGCAACTGGAGAGGGGGGCAGCAACAGGAATGTAGGAGCTGACGGCATGTCCAGTGGTGAGACCGGCTTTCCTCCTCCCAGGGACAGTGAGTGACTGCAGGCCTCAGGGCCCCAACACTCAAAAACAAATGTCCTGCCAAGTGGAGGGCCCAGCAGAGGCTCTTCAGCAGTTCCCGTTCTCCCCAGTCCTAGCCCTTGCTCAGAGAAAGGGCCAAGCTGCCACCTCCCCCTTCTCCCCCGACCCTGTTCCAGGCCCCAGCTGGCTTCCTGGCTGGCTGCTAGCCCTGGCTTTCACCCCAAAGGGAGCCACTCGTAAACAGGAAATGCTTCCCAATGTGATGCCTGCTCTGGGCGCCATCACCAGCCCACAGGCCGAGGGCAATAACCAAGCAGCAGTGTTGGCTGTTCCCACCAACTGCGGAAGACGGGGATGTTCAGGGGCTTCCCAGCTCTGGGGCTGGCTGTGAGGGAAGAGTTGCCAGGCCTGAGACGCCCAGAGGCTGAGCCCAGCAGCCTGTGGCTCTGCCCCGACCCCACTGCCCTCCAGCAGTAACCCCTCTGTGAGCGGATCCCCTGACACTGAGCGTTTCTGCTCCCTCTTCCCAGAGACAGTCTAAAGGCAGCCCCCAAGTCCCAGAAAGCCGACTCCCCTAGCATCGACTACGCAGAGCTGCTGCAGCACTTTGAGAAGGTCCAGAACAAGCACCTGGAAGTGCGGCACCAGCGGAGCGGGCGTGGGGACCACCTGGACCGGAGGGTCGTCCTCTGACAGGCCTGGCACAGAGGAGGGCCCACCGAGTGGTCCCATGAAGCACTCAGGGTTGTCACGCCCTCCTGAGGAGCTCAAGGACCTGCCTCTCAGGACCAGGGCTGGGCCTGACTGCCAGCCCAGAGCGCTGTTGGGGCCGGAGGCTGCTCTGTCTGCCCAAGCTCCTCTGAGAGTCCAGCCCTCAGGCCTCCAGCGCTGTCAGCTGCACCCTAGCATTCACACAGAGCTGGCTGCCCACCCTGTGGGGGGCTACAGCCTCAGACACCACTCATCCTCTGGAATCAACCTCTTTCTAATGCCCTCTTGGAAAAAGAGCTTGCCTCTCCTCCAGCACACCAGAGCTCTGGCCTTGTGTGTATATGTATACATACCTGTGTGTGTGTGTGTACTTGTATGCACGTAGGCACCAGCACAAAGATCTGAATGATGCACCCCACCCCCACCCCAATAAAGAAATAAGAGAAAATCCTCAACATGAGCCGGCCTGCTCCTTCCCAGCTGACATCTGCAGTTGCCCGGGGTCCTCCCCCTCTGTCCTGGAGATCGGGGCTCATGATGGCCCCAGGGAGTACTGGCTGTCCCAGGGCCTGGTGCCTGCACTCACCTGAATGGAGTCATGGGCCTAGAGCCTAGGTCCCCACCTCTGGAACCCACACCCTCCTAGAGCGCACCACGCACCGCCTGCCCTGGAATCCTGAACCCTGCCTTCCCCAGGCCCCTCATCTGCCTTTCTCATCCTGACTCTCTGGGGCAATGGGAGTTCCCCAATGGGGAGATGGGAGCTGAGCCCCAGGAGTTCCTGGATGAAAGGGCAATGCACACTGCAGAACACTGCAGATCACTGCGCAAGGGGAGGAAAGGCCCAGAGCAGTCCAGGGAGGGGCAGGTGCCCCAACCACTGCTTCAGCTGAAAGAGCCCCTCCTCACCCGCAGGGGTACCACCTGCCCCCAGGCTTTGGGAACCCTGGGCTTGGTCTCCAAATGAGCTTGTAATTGGCTCCCTGCCGCCCATGGAGTAGGGGAAAAGGAGCTTATGCCTGTTCTTCCCCCCAGAGTGTGCCCCCCCACCATCATGCTGCCCCCCAGGATGGGTTTCCCTGCCTGGAGTGTCCAGGACAGGCTGCACTTGACATTGCTACCCCATGCACGTGTGTGCATCACACCCACCGTGGACTCAGGCAACAGAGACCAAGGACAGCCCAGCTCTGCTCTGCTGGTCCGAAATGAGCCCCCACCCGCGAGGACGGAGGTTGTCCAGGGCCCAGGAGACCACCACTGCCCCCCAAAAGCCCAGCCTCGGGCACCTCATCTGGGTGGCATCGGCACCACTTGGAAAAGGAGCCAAGAAACTTGGAAGGGTCCGAACTTAAGGAGGAAGGTCTGTGCATGCGATGAAACGTCTTAAGGCGGGCGGTCCCACGATACCCCGCGCCCTGTTCTGTGTAGTGTATCCCATTCAGCCGATACACCGACCAAATCCCGCCACTGTATCCACTGCCCGTCTTTAGAAGCGCGGGAAGGCCCCCGCCCCAGGCCAAAGGCCGGAAGGCGTCGTGGAGCGCCTACCCAGGGGCTGAGAGCCACCCGTCCCACTCCCGAGTGGGCAGGGCTGGCCCCGCCCCAGCACCGCCCCCCGACCCGCGGTGGCGCCCGAGCCCGTCGGCCCCGCTCGCCGGACCAGTCTGGCAGCGCCCGAGCTCGGATTTCAAAGCCCTGGTTTCTGGCCGTGAATGGGCCTGCGCCCGCGCGGCCGTTCCCACAGCCCCCTCCCGCGCGGCCCGCCCTCCTTCCCTCCCTCCCCCCCCCGCGGTCCTCCCTCCGCCGCGCCCACGTGACGCCCGATCCTCGGCGGCTCGGATTACCGCCGCCGTCAGTCCGCGCGCCGAGGCTGCGCCGCTAGCTGCCCGCGCCGCGCCCCCCGCGCCGCCCGCCAGCCCCGCTGCGACATGGCCCGCGCCGCCCGCCGGAGGCCCGCGACCCCGGAGCGCGGCGCGGCCGGCCGCTGAGCGCGGCCTGGAGGCGGGAGGCCCGGCCCGGCCTCGGAGCGAGCGCCCGCGCGGCCCGGCCCCCTCCCCTGCGCGGCTCCCTGCGCTCCGTGCGCCCCGCCGCCGCCGCGGCCCGGCCCGGCCCGAGCATGGAGACGGCCGAGAAGGAGTGCGGCGCCCTGGGCGGGCTCTTCCAGGCCATTGTCAACGACATGAAGGTAACCGGGGCGCGGCGGGGCCGCGGCGCGCGGCGGCGGGTGCGGGTCCCCCCGGGGACGCGTGGCGGCGGGTGGCCGAGCCCCGTGTGGCCGCGCGCCGCGGTGTCTGTGTGTCCTTGTCTGAGCGCGTCCTGCCAGGGTCTGCTGGGCGCCCGTGTCTCCGGGTGCCCGTCTGGGGGTGTGGGTGCTCATGTGTCGGGGTGTCCGTGCGGTGCCCGCGGTGGCCCCGTGGGGTCCTGACCCAAGCTTGTGCACACGCAGGCTCCCTGTGCCCCAGACCGCCAAACCATGAATGGGATTTGGATCCAGGACCGACTCTAGGGCCCTTTAACGAGTCTGGGGTCTTGCCGACCTCCGCCCCCTTCCACCACCATGTTCCCCAAAGGCCCCGGAGCCCAGACAATGCTGTCACCGCCAAAGCAGGAAAAAATAATAAAGCGGAGAACCGTTAACTCCTTCCCCGCCGACCTGGGCCTCTGCGCCCGACCCTGAGACTGCCTCCCCCAGCTCCGCCCCACCCCCACAACCCCAGGAAGCTCCAGGACTCCAGGGTCCCCGGGCTGAATGATCCTGCATCCCAAGGATAGGCCTGGATCATCACCTTGGGAGGAGGCGGGATGAAGGTTGGGGTTGGTGGAGCAACCCCAAGGGAGCGCTTTTCCTACTCCATTACCACCTTGGACTCTCAGCTCCGAGCTCCCCCTCTCTCCCAGGATTGCCTAAGGTCAGGCTGGAGCTGGCCACCCATTCATTCCTCACCCCACCAGGTGGGGAAACTGGGCCTGGGAATGGCTCAAGGTCATTAAGGAGACTGTTGGACCCTTCCCCTGACCTCAGCCCCCATTTTTTCTCCTGGGAAAATTAGTGGGCTCCTCTCCCCAGACAAGGCCAGGGTTTGGCAGGGCTGCCCTACGCTGACTAGGCAGAGAGGGCCCAGCTCCAGTGATAGGGTGGGGACCAGGAACCAGCATTCCTGCCCTCCTGCCCTGCCCCCTTTCTTTAGCCTAGGATGAAGGGGCAGGATTTGGGGGCTGGGAGGAGAACGGGAAAGAACGATGCACCCCACAGGATCTCCCAAGGACCCCCACCCCCACACCCCAGCGCACACTCTGCAAGTGCACAACACAGAATCCCACCAGGCCATGGGTGGGGATGACACCACCCAGCACAGTGCTGCTAGGACAGGCCCCGTAAGGGGTGGGGGTTGCTGGCAGGTTGGAGGTCTAGGCTCCTGGTGCTGCCAGGACAACAGCCCCAGGGACAGCTGCCAAATCTCTGCCCCTGGAAGAGGCCTGAAGCCAGCCTGGCCTGGGACTACCCAGTTAGCGGCTTGTAGATGCTCCCCATACCCTGCCCCTTATGGTGCGCTCCCCCTGGGACCCCCATCTCTTGCAACTGTACATCCAGGCCCCTCCACTGGCCCCCAGCAGTCTCCGTCTGCCCTGTGGACATCACAGCCCTGGCCCCAGGATCCTGTTCTGGGACTGGCAATACAGACCACCCTCCCCTGTCCGATCCCAGAGCTGGCTGAGGATGGGCCTTCCCGCACCCCACCACCCACCACCACTGGCAGCCTCATAGCAACCACTGCAGAGAGCAGCAGATTTTGCTCGTAGAAGTGGACCAGGACTGTCTCTCTCCCTCTCCAGCCAATTTGCAAGGAACTTTGGGATGAGACAGAAGGAAGTGGGCCCAGATCATAGCAAGAGGTTCAAGTAAGACACCAGGCATGATTTGCTGACATGTGGAGGCAAAACAGAAGAGGCTTCACTTGGGATGATGCCAAGGACAGATATGCCCCTACCTATGACACAGGCATGTGTTCAGGGGCCATGACCGTGGCAGAGAAGGGGACGAGGCCACCTGGAGGCTGATCACCTGGATTTGGGGGGCAGCTTCTGGATTTTCCCCTGGGTGGCCTGAGCAGCAGGGCCTCCGTAGAAGAAGGGCGGCCATCAGCAGCCAGGTTGAGGAGACTGAGCTTGCCCCATGAGGCCACCCCACAGTGAGTCCACAGACCCCACAGAAGCCCTCCCCTGGGCCTCTGGGAGACCCTGACCTTGAACTGAGCGGGGGCCGAGGTCAGATGCCCACTGGTGTCAGGCTGTCCACTGAAACCCAGAGAGGGGCAGGGACTTGCCCAAGGTCATAGGCCTGGGCATGGCACCTTCAGCAAAGTGAATGGGGCCTCCACCCAGTGCTGGCCCAGCCAGAAAATGGGGTCATACTCTTCGCCCACCCCTCAAGAGTGGAGAGTGTCACCTGGACACGTAGGCCTGGCCAGGCCTCTGCTAGGGGCCCCTGCAGAGGGCAGGGCTTGCATAGTGTCAGCTGGTGTGAACTGAGCACTTACGGCCTGCTGGGCGCTGCACGGAGTGCTGGCTGGGCAGCGCCTGCTTCAATCTCCACACTGACCCAGTGGGGCAGGTGCCCTTCCTCTCCTGATTTTACAGGTGAAGAAACAGGCTCAGACAGGGGGCCCTTGCCCAGGGGCACCTGGAAAGCCCAGTCCCTGGGATTGGAGGCTGGATTGCTCACCCACACTGCACATCTGAACCACAGCCGCTGCCGGGACAGAGACAGAGCGTCGTCCTCCCTGTCCGTTGGGCGCCTCTAGTGACGAGCCCTCCACCTCCCCACTCCAGAGCCGCCACTGTGCTTGGGGCAGAACTGGGTGTCTCTCGCACCCCAGCAGGCGCCGCCGCCTCTGCAGCCTTGGCGCTCAGTCTTGTCTCCCTGCTTTGTAAGGGAGTGCCTCCACCTGGTGTGCAGTGACTAGGCAGACATGGGATCAGGTCCTGACCCTGCCACCCGGTGGCCGTGGGCAAATAAGTTAACCTCTACGGGCCTCTGTTTCCTCATTGGTGAAATGGGGGCAGTCATGGTATTCATCTCATGGGGCTGTTGGGAAGGTTTGCCTGGGCCTGTCCCAGGTGAAGGCTGGGGATGCTGTTCCTGGGGCGCTGGCTGCTGGAGCCCTGTCTCTTATTTTTAATCAGTGAAATTGACCTGTCCGTGAAGAGGCGGATATAAACAAATAAGACGCATGTTCCTTTGTCTCTGGGGTCCTTTATGTGGTTGCCGTGGGGAGGGCGGCAGGTCCAGGTCCTTCGAGACTGAGGCATCTAGGTCCATCTGCTAAGGGGATATGGCCTGGCCTCCCCTGCACCCCATCTTGTCCCCTCCCCATGGGGACAGCCTTTAATCTCTGCGACTGCCCGAGGGCTGCTCAGGGGCTAAGAAGGTTCCTGGGTGCCAGGATAGCTGGCT